TGATAATTATGAATACAAAGAATTGGAGAAATAATAAAGAAATTTATTTATTAATATTATAAACCTTTGGCATAGTATGATGCAGGACACCTAGTCCCTACAACTTTCTGCGCCACAGCGACAGATTTGAGAAAAAATTCACAATCAAAAATGCAATAAAATTTTTACAGCCACGTGTTTTAAAATAGATTTGTCACGTTGCATTCTCTTTATTGATATCACGTGATAAAGGATCTGCAACATAGATTTCAAAATTTTCAATTCTTCCAATTCGTTCATTTTTTAATATAAAAAAAATTTGTGTGTAACACGTCACTTTGTGGGATTAACATAGTAAATTTGTTAAACTTGTGCAACTTTATGGCTTAATTCCTCCACAACAACATGACATCTCAACAAAATGAAAATGTCATTTTGTAGAAAAAGGTCTTAGCTTCAAAATGACATCTTGTTTTTTTAGGTCACACATTTCCATTTTCGGAGGAGTTAAAGGATTTGCAAGACTAATAAAAGTTGTAGGGACTAGGTGTCCTGCACTATATATGGTGAATTTAATCTACTTTTTGCATCGTACTATATATGTTAAAAAAAATGGATCAGCACTAATGGATTACTTAGTTTTGATTTAATTAGACTGTAACACCCCCCAGTAACATATGCATTGATTATAATTATTAATATAATTTGTTTAGTTGTTAATCCTGATTGAATCTAGGAATCATGATAGAAGCATCAGGAAATTTGGATCCTAATTAGTTTGCAAGCATATTAATGACTGAATTTCATGCATCTTGAAAAGAATCATCATCAGAAAAATAAATATTTCCTGAAGCTTGATTCAAACAAAATCTCAATACTATTCATTAGCATATTGCCAATTTTTCTGATTCAAACTACGGTCAAGCCTCGTCACAGCGGACCTTGCCACAGCGGATTTCTTGTTACAACACATTTAAATTTTGACCCCTTTTTTTACTAATTAAAAATATTTGTCACAGGATTTTATTAACGGATTTTTGATTGGAAACCTATATACTAATACTAATCTTACCACAGCGGATTCACGTGACATAGAAATTTATAAAGTTATCCGAATTACCAAAATAGGCAACAAAAAAATTTTTTTAGTTTACAAAACAATAAACGGATTATTTGATCAAGTAACAAAATTTTCTAAAATAATTTATCAAATGCTTGCGAGTAACAATATTTTTTAAGTTTCTAAATAATTGATCAAATGTCTGCAAGTAACGAACAATTAAATGAATTATTTGTTCAAATGTTTGCAAGTATGCAAGTAACAAAATTTCCAAGTATCAATTGCATTTAACTTTGGTGACACGATGACGCTCGAAATGGAATCAATAGTGATGCATTCATTTATCATTAAAACCGTTTTATGTTTTTTATTTTTATTTTATTTAATGAATGAATCAAATGGATATATTTGGAACTTGTTGTAATTTACTCGGTTGTATTTCGACAGTAGTAAACGAAGTTCATAATATCTGTAAAAATGCTAAAGATAATCGGGAAAAATATGAGAGAATCAGTCAAAGAATAGAAACAAACACAAGTCAATTAATGACTTTTTGTACTCGTTCATTAAAGGGTGATAAAAATTTCAATCCAAATAACATGAATTTTGTTGATAATCTCCAACGCTATTTAAATGCAGTGACTGAAATTAGAAACTTAGTTAAAAAATATGATAAATTAAAAAAAAAAAATTTTTTGCAGATTGCAAAAGCAAATAAGTATAGTGATAAAATCAAAAATCTTGAAAAAAGATATGAAAGAGCTTTGGGAGATATAGTTTTTACAATCAATATGGAAAATTACAAGTCAAATGAAAATTTAGGCAACCAAGTACAAGATTTGAATGACACAGTTCGAAAGGTAAGTAAATAATTTAAATATGATGATTGATGATTATGAATAATGAATTTTTACTATTATATTAATATAGGAGTTTGAATTATTTTTAAAAACTGTTGAAGATGTATTTAAAAAAAATCTTACAGAAAATTCTAAAAATCTTGGCCCTCAGTCAAAAATTATTGCAAAGGAAACACATAAAGTAAACAAAGGCGAGTTCAAAATTTCTCTCTCATATGATGAATTTCAAGAAAAAGATTTAACAGATCCAAAACCAGATAACATTTCTGTTCGAGGAAAAGTATTTAAAAAAATGTTAAAAGAAACTATACAAGTTGCTTGTGTACCATTTGATGCACAACTCTATTGCAAGGATGAAAAGGATGAATTGGAAGCAACTTTAGCAATCTTGAGTAAATTACATTCATCAGATAGTATTATAAAATTTCATGGCACATCACGTGTTAATGATAAGGATGTATTAATATTTGATTGGGCACATAAGGGAAATTTAAAATATGTATATGAAGAATATAATAAGCAAAATAAACTGATTCCTTGGAAAAAAAAATTAAAGATTGCATATGGTATCTGCCTTGGACTGCAATTTTTACATAAATGTGAATTTTATCATCGTGATGTTAGATGCAAAAATATATTGGTAAAAAAATATTTGTTTTTTTAATTATCTTAATAATAAAATTGTTATTAAAATTGTTATTATTATTGCCATTTTTTATTTTTTTAGATTATGGGGCCAGGAATTGCCACAGCAAAAATTGCAAACTTTTCTTTAAGTAGAAATTTTGGAGACATTAGTAGACAATTTAAGTCAGGAGAAAAAAAATATGAAATGGAACGTTGGACAGCACCAGAAAAATTGAAAAAAACTTCCTATTCAGTTGAATGTGAAGTTTTTAGGTTAGTAAGGATGATATTTGCACATTGTCCAATTAATTTTTATGGATTTATTCATCAATTTATATTTATTTGATAGTTTTGGTATGCTCCTTTGGGAGCTCTCTTTTCAACAAGTTCCATATATTAAGAAATTTGAAAATGATTATGAAGAAATTTCTCAACACATTTTGAATAAAAAAAGAGAAGATTTAAATTTTGATTACAAACATTCAAGTGATATTCAACAATGTTTCAAAGAAATAATTTCAACTGGTAATTTATTCATGTTGTGCGTCAAATTCAAATCCATGTCAAATTTAAATTGACATGTATGAAGCTCAAATAAGCCAATCAGAATTCCACCCCACCCCAAAATTTTAATTATAAATTTACATTTGACATGGATTTGATTTCGATTCGCAACATTTTTTTATTTCTGTATTTATATTGACTATCCATTAAAAATTGGATACTAAGCATTATTTTGTTCTTAATATAGCCTGGAAACATGAACCTGGTGAACGTTTAAAACTACCAGATATTTTAACTAAATTGGAAATTTTATACAATAAATATTATGTATTGTCACTATTTAAAAATGGAGGAGATGATAATGATGATGATGATGATGATGATGATGATTGTAATGTTAGTTGTGAAGAATCATCAACAGAGGCTATATCAAAAAATTCTATACCTTTGAAACAAGGTATAATATTTCACAAGGAGAATACTCCAGATTCAAGAAAAAAAGCATGGAAGTGTTTTGAATACCATGCAGATGTTTTAAATAGTCCTCTAGCAAAGTATTGGAAGGCTTATTATTTAACACGTGGATATGCTGGTGTTGGCATAGATTTGAAAGAAGCACAAAAATTATTTAAAGAGGCAGCTGATGATGATATTGGTGAAGCACAATATTTCTATGCAAAATTAATAAAAAAGGATGCTAATAATGATTCAACCATTGCTGAAGAATGTGTTGAATATTTTGAAATGGCTGCTATGAATGGAATTCCAGCTGCTATGTTTGAACTAGGAAAAATTTATTATTATGGTAAATACAATGTTGAAATAGATAAAGACCGAGCAAAATCTTATCATAAAGAAGCCAAAAAAAATGGTATTGCTAATGCAAAAAATGAACTTGAAAAAATAAGTAAACTTGAAAATTCAGTTTAAAAATTTTAGATTAAATATATAGTCAAACCCACAACAGACTATAATTAAATTCTTGTCACAACGGATTTTTATAATTTTTGCTTCACATATAAAAACATATCAAAATCTGTTGTGGCAAAATTAATAACCTTGCCACAACAGATTTTGAATAAAATTTTTTATGTGTCTTGTTTATCCAATGTGACAAGGTTTGGCTGTAATGTTATAGATTTATTATTATTTATATTATTTATTTATTTATTATTTTATTACTATTTCCTCATTAACTGATCTGCCCTCATAAATTTGTCAATCAAAATTTATTTAATCTTAGAATTTGGTTTAAGATTTATTTTACTATTAAAAATAAATCTCACCCTCTGAGTAAGATTTACAAATAAAAATTAAATTTTTGTAAAAAAAATAAAATTTTTTAACTCTTTAATACCTCTGCTGGCAATTTCAATACTTGACAAACTGTTATTCCATTCGTTGGTAATGAACATAAGCTAATTTTCTCCATTAATTCTTCCTGCTTGGTATGCTCATCCTAAAAACATAACAGAAAATATATTCATATATATGTATGTATAAATTAATTTAAATGAATATAAAAAGAAAAAAATTATACAAGGTGACTTGAACACTGTAAAATAGTAAATTATAGATCACGGGAAACGAACATATAAATTGGAAATGATTTACATGTATCACGAGGTGAAAATTTGGAAGCGATTACAATATATTAATATTGACCTGAAGTATGTTTGATGATCAACCATTGTGACCAACCCCAGTAAATTCTCATTCTTATCAATTGCATTGCATTGAATTTAACTTTGGTGACACGATGACGCTCGAAATGGAATCAATAGTGATAGCATTCATTTAT